TTAGAGTCCGTTCCCTTCTCTCCCTACCATGTATGTTCTGGAGATTGAACTCAGGCTGTTAGCCTTTCAGTTAAAAGCCTTCATCTGCTGAGCCATCTCGCTGGCCCCCTTTTTAAAATTTTACGATTATTTTTTTCATATTTTTGGTTGTGAGCCTAGCCTTTAACAGCTGAGCCATCTCTCTGGCTCTCATTAATTTCCTAAAGAGGACAATGATATAAACAATTCCTCAAAATGCAGACCTAGGTTTTCTATTTTCCAGACATTAAGCAATAAGGATAAAGAGAGAAGGAACCACTTCCCTAAAAAAGCCAGTGGGAGGGCTGGCGGACCCTGGATGCACCAGCTTCTCAGAGGAGCCAGTGGCTGGAGAAGACACCCAGAAGTTGCAGCCAACCCGTTTATCAGACCCTGAACAGAAGGTGGCTCAGCAATGAGCACAAAGACTCACGTAAGGACAACAAAGTCGAGGTCCAGGTCAAAGGCTGCTTTAAATTGTTGGGGTTTGAGAGCCATGTCCCATGTTTATAATTAAGAACATACACAACCCTGGGAGTTTTTTTCTTTCTTCTTTCCCTTCCTTCCTTCCTTCCTTCCTTCCTTCCTTCCTTCCTTCCTTCCTCTCTTTCTCTCTCTTTCTTTCTTTTTTCAAGACAGGGTTTCTTGTGTAGCTCTGGCTGTCCTGCAACTCGCTCTATAGATCAGGCTGGCCTCAGACTCGTAGACGTCAGCTTGCCTCTGCCACCTGAGTGCGGAGACTAAAGGCGTGTAGCACCACTGCTCGGTCTAGAGATTATTAACTCATGTCCTGGGATAAGATGGAAAAGTCAAAACCTGAAGAGAAGGAACTGATAAATGAACACAGTCTGGGGTCTTGGCCATCATCTGGGTCATAGATAAAAATCTCCCCCACAGTTAGATTTAGCCCCAGACTGTTGAACTGTGTAAGCTAATGAGTTCCACGCTTTGATTAACCATATTAGGTCATATACCATGTCCACTTGGCTTGTGCCCTGGAGACCTGACGGGGGCAGTGAGGGAATCCACAAAGGACTGCCACAAACATACAGACAAGCTGGGATGAGGTGGGCTGTGCGCACTCTGATGGAGCAGCACCATTACTACAATGACCCTAACCCTCATCCAGCTGGGTGAGACAGACTTGATAGGAGGCCTCTACACGTGAGCAGTCTCAGGCTTTACAGATCAGGAAAAAGGAAACTGCACTTGCTACTTTTGGCACACACTGGTCAATTGTTGGTAAAGACTCACATTTGCACACACTGCCAACATCCTCAGGGGCCAGAAAAAGGCTATGTAGTCCTGAGCCTCACTATGGGTGTGGGACTTGGTGCTTGGAATGGAAAGAACATTAATTAACACAAGGAGGCATAGTAAGGAAGCTGCAAAGAATATGGTGCTTGACTTTCATCCAAACAACTGTATTAACTCAGGCACACTGTTTCCTTATGCTTCATTATCTCTGAGTTATAATAAATATCTTCATGTAAGAATTTTTAATCTTGTGAAGGAATAAAATGGCAGGTTGAATTAGTTTTAAAATGAAATTGTAATTTTTTTTAAAGATTTGTTTATTATTTATAAAGTTCTCTGCCTGCATGTATGCCTACACAACAGAAGAAGGCACCAGGTCTCATTATAGATGGTTGTGAGCCACCATGTGGTTGCTGGAAATTGAACTCAGGATCTTTGGAAGAACAGACAGTGCTCTTAACCACTGAGCCATCTTTCCAGCCCTAAAATAAATATTTTAAGATAAAAATAATAAAAATAAAGAAGCGCTCCCTCCACACCTGAGTCAGTCGGGACAGCTGGCCTGAGGCCTCAAGAGAGCAGTGAGTTGTCTTCGCCCCTCACCAGCTGCAGTGGTCTTGCCTGGGCAGCAGAGTAGATCTGGCCCTAATGGAGAAGGTGCAGGGGAGCCAGCCCATTGGGTAGGAGAGAAGAGGAGCTGGCGAAATCCCTCAAAGATTGCAGCGCGTGGGAGTGTGCCCCATGCCTTGACCAGGCAGCACAGTGGAGCTGGCTCTGGAGACATAAGTGCTTGTGAGCTGGCACCCGAGGGCATGAGGGCAGGAGAGCTGACCCTGTCCCCTGCTGATGGCAGCACTGGGTGGGTTAGCCAGAGCAGTGCCGGAGAGTTAAACCCTGGTAGTGAGGATGCAGGACAGCCAGCAGACTGACCAACTCAGCTACCACCCAGGCCCAGATCCAGGGCTTTGAGTTGGCCCACCCCATAATCTACATCATGTGTGAACTGCTGGAGCTTGTGAAGAGCCAGTCCTTCTGATCCAGAGCTGCGGCATTTCCACGACACAGGGCAACAGCAGGATATCCATGAGGAGGCCCGGTGAGGAGCCAGAGGCCTTGAAGCAGACCAATGAATCAATGAGTGGACAGCGGGGGTATACTGTGGGACACACTATGACACACTACAGGTTCCATGACAAGATGTTTTCTACGCTTTGTTGTTTATTTTTTGTTTGTTCTTTATTTTCTTTTGGTGGGGGAGGCTGCAAGGGTAGAGGGCAGATACAAAGGAAGGGGAGATTGGTGGGATTGGGATGCATGATGTGAAACTAAAAAAAAAAAAAAAAATCAATAAAAAGTTGAAAAAAGTACACAGCCTGAAACTCACACACCTACGGATACTTGATTTTTGACAAAGAAGCCAACACCATACAATGGAAAAAAGACAGCATCTTCAACAAATGGTGCTGGTCTAACTGGGTGTCTACATGTAGAAAAAACGCAAATAGATCCGTATTCGTCACCCTGCACAAAACTAAAGCCCAAGTGGATCAAAGACCTCAACATAAAACCAGACACACTAAATCTGTTAGAAGAAAAAGTGGGGAAGAGCCTTGACCTCACTGGCACAGGAGACAGCTTCCTGAACATAACACCAAAAGCACAGGCTCTAAGATCAACAATCAATAAATGGGACCTCATGAAACTGAAAAGCTTCTGTAAAACAAAGGGCACTGTCGTCAGAACAAAACGACAGCCTACAGACTGGGAAAGGATCTTCACCAACCCTGTATCTGACATAGGGCTGATATCCAGAATATATATTAAAAAAAACTCAAGAAGTTAAACACCAATAATGCAATTAAAAAATGGGGTACAGAGCTAAACAGCATTCTCAATAGAGGAATATCAAATGGCAGAGACACACTTAAATGTTCAACGTCCTTCGTCATTATGGAGATGCAAATCTAAACAACCCTGAGGTTGAACTTAATGGGAAAGAGAAGTCGGGCTTGAGGAGAGAGGTGAAATAGAAAACAGATGAGTAGATATGTTCAGTATCTAGAGTAGATCCACAGTAGCTAGAGCACTAGATCCACACAGCTAAGTTCCAAGAGATGCAGACGGGAAGTAAGTGATGGCAAAACTATGAGAGACTGTAACATGCCTTAGTCTTTGCCTGGGGTTGGACATTCCTCAAGCTAGGTTCTGTGGACTAACAGTGTAAGAGTCAGCTGTCCTATTTGCTGAAAATAAAATATCGGTACCAGAACGGTCCTACTGAATACGAATGTATATAGAGAGCATGGAATTTCTCTTGTTTTAAATAACCTTCCCATTTGTATACATATTTTTGATACCTCAGCAAGTTTTTCAACTTTTAGTAAGAAACAAGGAGGCTGGGTTTTGTTCAGTTGGTACAGTACTTGTCTAAGTGGGTCTATGAGAGCTTGGGCTCAGTCCCTCACATCTGCATGTGGTGGTAAGCCTGTAATCCTAGCACACGGGAGGGAGGCAGGGTGAGCAGAAAGATAAGGTCATCTGCAGCTACATACTGAGGCCAGCCTCAACTACATGAGAACTTGTTTCAGGCCTGCTTTTTTTTCTGAAGGAAAAAGGAGGAACAGTGGATCTGGGAGAGAGGGAGGCATGGAGAGAACTGGGAGGAGAGGAAGAAAGGGAGGATGTGGTTGGGATGTATTATATGAGAGATGAATAAAGTAAAAAGAAAAAAACCCAGCAAAAGTACTCAAAGCTATCACGGGCAACTTAATGAAACTAATTTGAAATAAAGGAGAGAAGGTCAGAGAGAGATGGCTCCGTAGGTAAAGGTGCTGCCATGCAAACCCGGTGATGACAAAACCTCCCTAAAGGAAGACAGAGTTAACTGATTCCATGAAGCTGTCTTATCTCCACAAATGTGCCATGACACACATGTGCAGTTCCCTACCCTGCCCAGCCCCAAGAGCACGTACGCATATACATAGGAATAATAAATAAAACATTTAAAGTAAACTAAGAGGGCTGGGGATAAAGCTTTGCAGTAGAATGCCTGCCAGTATGTAGAAAAGCTGTCTTTTTTTTTTAAGAAATGAGGAAGTGCCCAAGTAGCCCAGTTGGTTAGTGTGGTTCTCTCTCTCTCTCTCTCTCTCTAAAAGGAGGCTCTGATCAAAGAAAGCATTAGGTATGGGAAGTACTTGGGAAGTACTACGGGAAGAACACTTGTTGTAATCCAGGCCTCTGCTGTCATCAACAGAGTTAAGGATGTCATCAGGAGCAGCTGTTTTCACAGAAGACAATGTTATCCATTCCGGACATGTCTAATTGGAGGCGATGCCAGGAGTTGTGCACACACCACACCCTGCAGGCCCAAATTCTGCTCAAATCAATGTTGCAGTTCCCAGCTTGAAATGTGAGTTGTGTGTGACTGAGTCTTCTATCTGATAAATACCTGCAGGGACCCACACTTACATTTTCAAATTACTCTGTCCTATAAAATAAAAATTATAAAAATGATGTTAAGGCCACATTATATATGTCAGCACATAACTTCCACTGAATAATACTAATTTCAAAAGCAGAGAGCTGGTACAAACCAAACAATAAGCGAAAGGTTATAAAAAAAAAAAAAAAAGAAGTGGCAAACCCTCCCCATTCTGGGGGTGGAGATTTGCTCTACAAAGCCTCTTGTCATCCCTGTGGCCAACTAGACAAGTCAGAGTCTTTGCTTTTCCCCGTGGCATGTGTTTGAGTTGCAGCAGAAAGGAAATGTGTCATCTGTGGTTTGGTTTTAAAAGTGGAAAGCTAGCTGTACGTATCCTCTTAAAAAAACTGCAGATTTAGTAGTCTCCAAACTATTCTACTTAAAATAAGAAGAAAAGAAGTGGTTTATTAAATAAAGATTGTGACAGAGCATTTTGTAAGGTAGGTTGTATATATGGCTTTTATTCCTTTTCACTTAAAACTATGTTCAGATTAGTATGCAGGAAGTGCTTTTTTCAAAGATGTATAACTCTAACAAAGTAGAATCATTATGTGTTTTCTATACTATTATAAAAATATGTAAACAGCATAATCAATTAGAGCTAAAAATTGTAATTATTAAAATGGAGTTTTAAGTAAAGATAAGAAACTGAGTTTGGCCTCAAATGAGTTGAAAAGCTTTTTTTCTCTCTCTCTTTTTTTTTTTATAATTAAGGAAATATGTTTTTCATTCCTAAAGCTTAAGCATTACAAATCTGACTAAAAATGATGAGACAAAAAACAAAACCAGAAAGTCAAAACCTTGCTAACCCAACCCGGCCTCTGGGGCAGAAAGCGGAGATGTAGAACAGTCTTCATGCTTGTGAACAAAAGGGAAGTTTCATTTTTGTCAGCAGCTTGTTTACTGGGGCACGACAGCACATCTGGATGAAGACAATCAACAGCAGGCCTATTATCCGACCCGTGGTACACTGCTAGCGTGTAGAAGACAGTGAATGAGCTAATGTGATTAAAATAACCTACTTTAAATCATGTTAATATTGAATGCATGCGTCTACTCTGGTAGAAGAGGATGGACTCTTCTTAGTAACTCAATTTAAAGTATTGCTTTTTGTGAACAATTTATAAGGTACCCAGAGATTCTATCATTCCGTCTGAAGACTGAAGGTGAATCCTTTTACACAAGTCAGTGCCCTACATTTTTAAGTGGCTACCAACAATTATAATCCCAAAGTGACCTGGATTCCACAACATTAGGCACAGGTTTCCCCCTCTCCTTCTACTCTTAGTATAAAATATTATTCAAAAGTTACTTTCCAATTAGCATCATTTACTATATGCTGTTTTTGTCTGTGCAACTTAACGTATCTCACCTGTTAGTTTCAATTTCTGTATTTTTTTCTTCCTTCTTTCCTTTCTTTTTCTTTCTTTCTGTTTGTTTTTCAAGACAGGATTTCTCTGTATAGCCCTGGCTGTTCTGGAACTCACTTTGTAAACCAGACTGGCCTCAAACTCACAGATCCGCCTGCCTCTGCTTCGCAAGTGCTGGGATTAAAGGCAAACACCACCACTACCCAGCAATTTATGTTTTCTTGACATTCAGATGTTGTCAAATAGCATGTACTACCCCACAGAGCACCTCCCTGCTCAAGTATGACTAGCAGAGTAGTATCTGTGCCACTTGGAGGTGGTTTGGAAACATCTCAGGCCCTAACCTAGACCTGAGAAAAAGGCTCCCCCACATATTCAAGTTTGAAAATAACGTCTATAAAACACACAGGGTTTCTTTTTGTTGTTGTTTTGTTTTGTTTGAGATAGGGTTTTTCTGTGTAGCCCTGGCTGTCCTAGACTTGCCTTGTAGACCAGGCTGGCCTTGAACTCACAGAGATCCACCTGTCTCTGCCTCTGGAGTGCTGGGATTAAAGGCATGCACCAGCACTACCTGGCTCACACACGGTTCTTAACAAGACAATTCTATTCATTAAGTCTTAGAACAATCTAGTGTTTTTCCTGTAAGTCTCCTTACATTTTTACCTCTGAATAAAGCATGCTCTCAAGAGCTGTTCTGGAGAACTGGTATCGTATTATGAACAGCTCTATTGGACCCGGCCATCTACCTTTGATCCCAGGCTTCAGGAGGCAGTGGCAGGGTGATCTTTTAAAGGTAAAAACTCACTTCACTAAAGGTGCCAAATCTCTCTTGCTAGGTTAGCTGCTCTCTAAGCAGATGGCTGATAAGGAAGAAACTTTGTACTTTTTTTGAGTTTCAGTTTTTGGGAGGAGGGTGAGGTGAGAGCTGAGCATGGGCTACTACAGGGCTGCCTGGCTGCTGAGTCTCAACCTTCTAATGTGAAGATGAGTTGCTCACAGTAAGGCACTGTGTTCTAAGACCCCCAACAGCCTGATGATTGATTCCTTTTAATTTTTCTCTATAATTTCTTTCGTAGGTTTGTTAAGATGAGGGAGGAAAAAAAAAAAAAGAATGCCAGTTACAGAATGACAATAAAAGTGACTTGTACAAAGGAAAGTTTTGTTTTTCCTGATTCTGGGTTGACATAACAGCCATGCCTCTACTATTTAGAAAGTCATACTCGCTAGGGCAATAGAGGTGGACTAAGCAGCAACCACAAAGCTGCATTCACAAATGCTAGGACAATTCTAAGGCTGTTTTCTCATCACACTTCAAATTCCTACTTGATGTACACTTGCTTTCAGTCTCTGCCAAACTTCTACTTGTGATTTCGTTTTATACATGAAACAAAACTTTCAAGGCCAAGTTCTCCTTTACTTCAAGAAGAGGACGTGTTTCTCCGAAGGTGGACACTTCAGTAAGGAGAAGCCCTAAATGAGAAATCACAAGCACAAAAGCAGAAGCCTCTGACTACAAGCTGAGGTCTATGGCTTCCTTAAAAGGGAGACTATGTAGAGCTGTGGTCCGCAGTTAAAAATGGTTACTAGGTATTTGTAATGCTAACTTACAGCATCAAAATGCACAACACAAGTTTAAATTTTTATACATAATCTAAGAACAAGAACAAAAATTCAGTTAAAACAACAAAAGAAAATCAGTTGAGCAGTATCCGACAGCAAATGGTAGGCGTGGATTCCTGTTTTCCCTGTGCTATCTCAAGCGCAGTCCCTTAATTACAATTACTCCACACGCCAGTCATTAGTTTTCCACAAACTAACGGTTGATATTGCTGTCTCAACAGATAGCAGCACACCTGTGGGCATGGAGCACACAGGACAGTACCTGCACCTTCTTTTCCTCATGACAGCAGTGTGTTCCTCATCTCCTGGAACAAAAGCAAACTATGCACACCCGAGGACTAACAACATCTCTGCCTGGGCTTCCATGAATCCAAACAGCACAAGTAGACCTCTGAGTGAGACCAACACAAGCCCCGTAACTCCCCCAGCCGTGGATCACAGAATGAGTCCTAAAAACAAGCCTGCCTCATCTGCCACTGTGCCTGCAGCCCCTACATCTACCCCGAAGACCTCTGTGCCCCAGGCCTCCAGAAACAGTTCTCCAACAGTGGAGATCAAAAGTCAGGGGGAAAGTTTTAAAAAGGATGTCTGTGAGGAAAACAACAGCAACACCGCCATGCTAATCTGCTTAATTGTAATTGCAGTCCTTTTCCTTATCTGTACCTTTCTATTTCTATCAACTGTGGTTCTAGCAAACAAGGTGTCATCTCTCAGAAGGTCAAAACAAGTAAGCAAGCGGCAGCCTCGGAGCAATGGCGACTTTCTGGCAAGCAGTGGGCTCTGGACTGCTGAATCAGACACTTGGAAAAGAGCAAAAGAACTCACAGGCCCCAACCTCCTGATGCAGTCTACTGGTGTGCTTACAGCTAGCAGGGAAAGGAAGCATGAAGAAGGAACTGAAAAACTCAACTAGGCCATGGTTTGGAAAGGAAATGCAAAGCAGCAATGAGGAAAGCCAAGTTAAAAATAAAGCTGGCTGGAGTACTGCACAGTAGTGTTTGCTCAGACGATCAAAAGTCTGACAAGCAGCTTAGCATCAAACAGACCAGAACGGGAGATGTATGTCTGCTGAAGTTACTTAAAACTGCATTTCTGTTTCACACTTCCTATTTTCAAAAAAATAAATAAAACAACAGCAGCTGAAGAAACTAATAAATAAGAGGTAACTAGATATTCCTGTTCAGCAGTGAATGATCTGTCTGAATGTACATGAACTTGGAAGAGTTCTATGAAGCCCTTAGAGCCAAGCAGATGCCACAGTGCCTAGCAGGATTCAAATTCCTAACATGTATAGAACTCAACTGTGTAACATGATCAAACATTCTCACTAGATGACAGAGAACCCACACCAGTTTGTATCTTAGCACAGCTAATGTTAGGCTACTTTACATAAAGTACAAGACAAAAGCGCTTTTCTACTACACATAATAAATTAAAACTTAATTTTGAACAATAAACAGATTTTAGAACAAAGCTGACCATGCACCTCTCATTTATATTGTCTTAGAACATGTAATAAAAAAAGAAAAACACAACCAAAATAGATGAGACTCATACCCACAAAAGGCTATGAATAAATATGAAAAATGTTTTAGTGTTTAAGAATAACATTTCAAGAGGCTGAAGGAATGGCTCAGAAGTGAGAGCACTGACTGTTCTTCCAGAGGACTCTGGTTCTATTCCCAGCACCTACACATGGTTCATGGCTGGCTGTAATTCCAGTTCTAAAGGATCCTGGCTTTCTTGGGCACCAGACATATACATGGTACATAGACATAAAACATGCATATACATAAAATAATTTTTAAAAATTTGTATTTTGCAGACACACTGTTTACTAGATTAATAACAAGCACCAGCCAAGTGCAGTAGCACACACCTGTAATTCCAACATTTGGGAAGATCAAGTCAGAGAATTCTGAGTTTGAGCCTGGCCTGCATAGTGAGACCCTGTCTGAATCCTTAACAACAAGAAAACATAACAAATGCCCTAAAGCTGGTTAAAGTTTAGAGTCCAAGGGTGCTAAGTAATTTATAAATCATCAATTTTCACTTTTATTCAAAAGAGCAGCATGAATAAAGAGAAGTGAGGAGTGTGTGCGTGCGAATGCATGTGTCTCTGTGTGTGTACACTTGTAGATTATTCCATGACCCTCTATAGCGGGAGTTACAGGTGATTGCGACCCACCTGATGTGAGTGCTTTGCAAGAGCAATATGTTCCTTTTATAACGATTTATTTATATTTTATCTGAGTGTTTTGCCTGCATGTATGTCTTTGCACAGTGTGCATACAGTACTCTTGGAGGCCAGAAAAGAATGTCAGATCCCCCTGGAAGTAGAGTTACAGATGGCTATGAGTTGCCAGGTGGGTTCTGGGAATAGAACCTGGGACCTCTACAAGAGCAGCAAGTGCCCTTAACTGCTGAGCTAGCCCCTTAGCATTTCCCTTTTAATGAGTGAGTCATCCTGGCTATGTACCAGAATAAAAAAAAATGTTAATGCCAATATCTAATTTCTATGTCCCACATTTGATTTCAGTTATAATGATCTAAGTTTCAAGTCAAGTACTAGGCATTTTTTCCTAACTATCTAAATGGTATTACCCTTGAGTCTTAAATTCATTTTTGTTAAGTTCTGTTACTTTAAATACCTAGGTTACATCTTTATTTGTTTGTTATTTTGGGTTGGTTTTGTTGTTGTTGTTTTTTGAGATAGAGTTTCTCTGCGTAGGCTTGTCTGTCCTCCAACGCACAGCAATCCGCCTGCCTCTGCCTCTGCAAGTGCTGGCATTACAGGTACGCACCACCACACCCGGTTTAGGTTACATCTTTAAACGCACTGTGTGTTGAGGGACACAGGACATGAAATTTATTTTTTCTTTTTTAAAAAATATTTATTTATTACGTAGACAATGTTCTGTCTACATGTACACCTGCACGCCAGAAGAGAGTACCAGATCTCATTATAGATGGTTGTGAGCCTTTCTTTCTTTTTTTAAATGTATACAGTGTTTTGCCTGCATGTATGTTTATGAACTGTATGTGTACCTGGTGTCCACAGAGGCAAGAAGAGGACATCAGTTTCTCTCTGAGACTACAGCTACAGACAGTTGTGAGCTGCCATGTGGGAGCTGGGAATTGAACTTAGTCCTTTGGAAGAGCAGTCAGTGCTCTTAACTGCTAATACCATTTTTTAAAAAAAATCAATTTACTATTAGTTAAAAAAAATAATGTTCTTCCCCTAAACAGTAAATCATAACCATGTTACACTAGATAAAGCAAAACATCAACAAAATGAAAAAGGACCTAGTACACGGATGTCTTTGTCTTACTATCCCTTCTTTCTTCTTTGCTCTAATCCATTTGCTTTTAGAAGGTAAGTGGGCAGAGTGAGTGGTTTTGCATGTTCTGTAAGCAAGGCTGGCCTCAGATTTACTATGTATGGTGATCTCCAACACTCTGAGCCTCCTGCTCCACCTCACAAATGTATGCATCATCATGCCAAACTCTGGTTGCCTTTTTTCTTTTTTTTTTAATTTATTTTTTGATTATTACAATTTATTCACTTTATATCCCAGCTGTTGCCTCCTCTCTCATCCCTTTCCTCCCTCTTCTCCTCCCATGCCCCTCCCCCAGACCACTGATTGGGGCGGTCCTCCTCCCCTTCCATCTGATCCTAGCCTATCAGATCTCATCAGGACTAGCTGCAGTCTCCCTGTGTGGCCTGGTACAGCTACATTCTCCCCCAGGGGGAGGTGATCAAAGAGCCAGCCACTGAGTTTATGTCAGAGAGAGCCCCTGTTCCCCTTACTAGGGAACCCACTTGGAGGCTGAACTGCCATGGGCTATATCTGAGCAAGGGTTGTCTCTATGCATGGTCCTTGGTTGGAGTGTTGGTCTTTGCAAAGACCCCTGAGCACAGATTTTTTTGGTTCTGTTGCTCTCCCTGTGGCGCTCCTGTCCCCTCCGGGTCTTTCTATCTTCCCCTTCTTTCATAAGATTCCCTGCATTCTGCCCAAAGTTTGGCTATGAGTCTTAGCATCTGCTTTGATAACCTGTTAGGTAGAGTCTTTCAGAGGCCCTCTGTGGTAGGCTCCTGTCCTGTTCCATGTTTTCTCCCACTTCTGATGTCTATCCCATTTGCTTTCTGAATGAGGACTGAGCAACTTCCCTAGCGTCGTCCTTCTTGTTTAGCTTCTTTAGGAGTATAGATTTTAGTATGTTTATCTTGTATTATATGACTAACTCCTGCAGCTGATAAACACCTTCAGCAATGTGGCTGGATACAAAAGTAAATCAAAAAAATCAGTAGCCCTCCTGTATACAGAAGACAAAATGGCTGAGAAAGAAATTAGGGAAACTACACCCTTCACTATAGCTACAAATAACAAAAGTATCTTGGTGTGACTCTAACCAAGAAAGTGAAAGATCTGTTTGAAAAAAAACTTCAAGTCTCTGAAGAAAGAAACTGAAGAAGATATCAGAAGATGGAAAGATCTCCCATGCTCATGGAGTGGTAGGATTAACATAGTGAAAATGGCCACCCTGGTCGTCTTTTCAAGGGTAAAACAGTCCTGATTGGAAATGACTATGGGTAGTGATCATATTGGTCAAGCATTTCCAAGTAAGACATGCAAGTTTTATGTACTCCAGGAATATTTAAAATCTATTACTCAACCCTTAATTTTTAAGCATACATTCTGAGAATGATGCCTCAATGAAAGCTTATGAAAAAGAAAGTAGTTAAAAGCGTCTATAGCTTCAAAGTTTCCTAAGTTACTTTTTAACAAGATCATTTTATTTTCTACTCCTGGATATAATGATTATTATCTTAATCCAAAGATTTTAAAGTGAATTAAAATAGTAAAGTAAAAGCTTTTTAACAGCAGGGTGTGCTGGCAGTACACAGCCAATAATCCCAGCACTTGGGAGGCTCAAACAGGCAGAATGAAAGATCAAGGCCAGTCTAGGTAACATGATGACACCCTGTTCTCAAAAATAAACAAAGCTGTCTACCCCCCAATAAAAAGGTCACTTCATAACATTTTATTACAAGTTAAGAACTCAGGGAATCATATGAAAGAAGGGAAGTTAGTATGATGGGGAAAGGATAGGAGCTCCACAAGGACAAAATATATCTGGGCACAGGGTCTTTTCTGAGACTGACATTCAACCAAGGACCATGTATGGATATAACCTAGAACCTCTGCTCAGATGTAGCCTGTGGAAGCTCAGTAACCAATTGGTTTCCCATAGTGAGGGGAACAAGGACTATTTCTAACAGGAACTCAATGACTGGCTCTTTGACTTCCCCACCCCCCAAGGGAGGAGCAGTCCTGTTAGGCCACAGAGGAGGGCTTTGTAGCCAGTCCTGAAGATACCTGATAAAACAGGATCGGATGAATGGGGAGGAGGTCCCCCCCTATCAGTGGATTTGGCAAGGGGCGCGGTGGAGATGAGGGAGGGAGGGTGGGATTGGGAGGGAATGAGGGAGCGGGATACGGCTGGGATAGAGAGTTAATAAAATGTAACTTGTAAGAAAAAAATAAAGTTAAAAACAAACAAAAAACCAAAAAACAAGTTAAGAACTGAGTCATAATAGTCTATATTCCTTGGCTGTGACCAGAGAAAGTGTCCACACACTGGTATTTACTGTTTCTGCTCACCCGTGCACCGAGGAGGCGTTTACATTTACTTAAACCCCATCATAAATTGGGGATGACAGTCTCTACTGTTCAGATGAGGAAGAGGCTGCCTCAAAATTTGATTCATACTCTTCATATTCTTTGCTTAGTCAGTTTCATAAAACAAACAAACAAAAAACAATACTGGGGAACAAGGAGTGCCTGATGTTCTTCGGAGGACCTGAGCTCGGGTGCCATCACCTGTATCCAGCAGCTCACCTCCAAGAGGAGCTCAGCTTCAGGGAATCCAGGGCCTTCTTCTGGCCTCTGAGGGCACCCACACAGATGTGGCGTACATATACATAAAAATAAAAACTTGTCTTCTCTTTAAAGGAAGTATTGGGGCAAAGGTACAGCACATTGGTAGAGTTATGCCTTGTATATGTGAGGCTTTGTGCATGACCCACAGTACCAAAATCAAATTGGGTGACAGTAACTTAACTATACTTTTATTTGTGCTCTGCCAGTACTCCCCTTGGTGCTGTCAACGAAGAGCCAGCATTAAGATGCACTGGTTATCTACCGTGTGAGGCATCATTTTATCCAATGCTCACAGTATTTCCAGGGAGGGAAATACTCCTTCCGGGGAGGAAATGGTGACTGAGAAAGCCACTGACTTGCCTACGACCTAAACATCATTCACTTCTTCCAATAAGAAATCTCACTCAGCATTTTCCTCAGGATATATAATTTCTCAGCAAGACTCCATCCTAAGTGTTTAGATTATACAATCACATGACTGGAGAGTAAGGGATATTTATTTACAAACATCAGTTAAGAGCACTTAAGTTACATAGATTGTGTTTCAATATAAGCTCTTTGAAGGAGCACATTTCTTAGTCATTCTGTGGCTTATTGCACTTCCTGTAACTGCTATTGATAAACTTCCTCTGCGTACGGAAACCATTTCAGTGTGCTAGAGGACCATTTTTAATCTGCACCGAACCAACTCTTTGCTTTCTCAGCCAAGTCAAAACATGTCCTCTTAGAACAAGAATTTACATTCTGCGAAAGAAGTTCTCAGGTAAGAGCACCCCGACACAGGCCATCTGATTTCAGTTTTGCTTATATAAAATTTATTTTAAAAACCAAAATATCATTAGTGTTTACAGATGAATGCAGCTCTCAACAGTTTAAAAAATGTCTACAGACGATTTCTGTGGCTCTGCTGTGTGAATTTTATATGTTTATATTCAGGGTCGATATTGTCTGAAAGACTTTCATTGAGGTTTTAATATCATCAGACCTTTGAGATATACTCAGTCAAAATATTTAACATTACTTTAATAATTTTTAAAAAGCTAGGAGCTAAAAATAAAACTAAATTACATGGGCTCGGACTGAATTTACAACCTTTAAAATACTGTTTAAAAATTCTAGGGCTGGTGCTACAGGTTGGTGCCAGAGCTTGCCCAACATGCATGAGGACCTGGGTTTAATACTCAGTATCACAAGAGAAAGAAAACAGTCTAATTTACTTTCTATAAGGACTTTCTACTCATATAGAAAATCTCATTTAAGTTATCTAATCATTTTTGCTCATTAAAAAAGAGTCAGGGTTTCTATATGTAGACAAGGCTGGCCTCTAAGATCTTTCTGTCTCTACCTCACAGGAACGGGAATTAAAAGCACACATCATCATGCCTGGCCTAAATTAGTTTTATTTGTCTATCCCTTTTAGTTTATAAACTACAAATGGTTACCTTCATTTTGACTTGACTTAAAAAGAACTTATGTGTTGTGTACAAAACGAATTTTATATTTAAGTAATAACTGTGATGTATAACAATTATGTCATTTAAAAAGCTCCATAAGGCAAAAAATAGTATGATGAGTATGTGCATACTTATATCATGTATGTGCTTATGCCACATACTCCCGGGCTGACTTTTTAGTGAAGAATATAAAGCACAGAAAAAAAAAAAAATCCACGGAATGTTTTGTAAAAACTTGTTAGTAAATGAAAAAGATACTTGCCTTGTGACTAAATGGAATAATTACAAATAAAATAATAAAAATACATGGAGATTCCAGAGATCTGCAGTCCAAAGGAAAACTAATTTGGAACTGGGTTAGATCCTATTTCAACCATTCATCAACACAACTTTTCCTTATAGCAGTCTGCTTTGAATTTTTTTTTTTTGGGGGGGGAGGAAGTGCAACTTGGGGTTTTTCCCTGTAGCCCCAGCTGCCCTAGAATTTGCTCTATAGACTAGGCTGACCTCAAACTCAGAGATCTGCCTGCCTCTGCCTCCTAAGTACTGGGATAAAAGGCATGTGCTACCACCATCAATCTTGGTTTGAAATTTTTAAAGTAATGTATGTTACATAAACTAAAAAGTAGAGATATTTTTAAGCTCAAATTTCTCTGAAACAGGGCTAGTCTCAAGTTTAACAGTTTCCATGTTTTCAACAAGTTCCTACATAATTTACTTAGAAGTATCATGTGAGTAATTCTGAACATGCTAAATATAAATTGATGGCTTTTAATGCTTAATCTTTAAAGAAGTATCACAAAATTTTCAGTTAACTGTAATTTTGACAGCTCACATGCTAAACACTCAAAACTCCTAAACTATTTGCATAGATTCCTGGACTGATGTGTGTTGTCTAGTACTTCTTTTCCTACCCTTTATGTAAGCCTAGCCCCAAAGTTACTTACACTGTTGCAGAGACCTTACAAGAGTCCTTTTCTGGCATGAAGCCTTTCTCGTTCTTAATTCCACAAAAGGCTCCAGCATGTACCAACAGAAGTCAAGGGCTCAGGTCAGCAAGGTTTCCATGATAGTGCCACTGCTTAGAGCTGTGACAGCTTGCAAAGTTAACCAACTCTCTCTCTCTCTCTCTCTCTAAGTCTGGAAGATGAAAATATAACCACCTCGGTCATACAAATAAATCCTACTACATAGGAATTTTGTGGGTATTCAGTAATGGTATTTCTGTGGTACTGAGGAATCAAACTCAGGGCCTTGTGCATGGGAGACCATCACTGTAGCCCTGAGCTTCACCCCCAGCCCTGGCAGTATGTGACAAACACATGCCTAATCCTAGGGAGTTCCATATTTATTGTAACCATGCTTAAAATACTGATTCACTAAAACAATGCATTGTTTTCCTTTTTAAAAATTAAAAAAAAAAAAAAGTCAGGTAAAACAAAGAGCCAAAATGACAGATTTAAACCTCATGCTGTAAATACTGAGAGAAGTTTTGCTATAGGAAGGTCGAGCAATCTGGATTTTCCTGAGCCGGAGATTAGAGCATTTCTAAGGAAGATCCTATACAGACTGTGCTGGGTTCTCTATAGTTAGCAGGCATACTTCTAGGTAGTGAGTGTTAGGGAGGTGACAGTGGGGGCGCCTGGAGTGAAGGTGGGTTCATAGGTCCTCCATTCTGGATGGTCAGCTCCTGTTTGTTAATTCTTACTCCCCCACACAGGCCAGTGATAGGAAGTGACAATTCCCAACAGCCTTTTACCCATGATAATCCTCTCTTCCCTTCTTCAGTAACCTCCTGAAAACTAATAAGCAGCTACCATTTCCAGCTATTTCCATTTCTTCAATACCTTTCCTAATTGACCGATCCTTTTCCACATACCTGGTGCATCCTAAAGTTTTTGTGAAATTTCTCTTTCATTTTCTTTAATTTTTTTTCATTCCCATTTCCTGTCTATTCTAAATTTTAATCTCTTTTTTATCTTCTGCCCCAAATTCAGCTGACCATCACCTTTCTCTGCAGAAACAGTGTGGACTTTAGGTAGATACCAGTTACATAGTTGACAAATGTGTTCAATAACCTTGTATATTAAGGGCTATAACACTGGCTTCATTAACTCTGACAAGAGTCAGGCTCCCCGTCCCCCAAAATTAAATTATTAAATCCCAAATTTCTTCTTTTTTGTCTTGATACTTCTTCTTTAGATTATTCTGAACTGCCATAGTAAGATTCTAACAGATTCTAGCATTCTGCTGCAGCAGATCCTAGGGAGGGTTCGTAATGTAAGTGATGAACTGGAGAAAGTGGCAGGATATTTGAAAAATGGGTTTTGCTTTTACTACTGTGGTGAGTGGAAACATCAAACATCTAACTTCCTGTTGACACTAGAGGTGATGAACCTATCAGAATTGACCTTACAAACCAAACTGGGTTGTGTAATGATGCTCCTGTTTTGACTGGTTCCTCCTCTATTTTCCTTTTTCAGCCAACTAAAAAGAGGAACTGTATGGTTTCTTTATTTTAGGTGAAGTCACAAAAGAGGAAACATTTTTAGCTGAAGACAATTCATGGCCCATATCTTCTGTTGCTTTGGAAAGCATTTTCTAAAAACATTTACAAAATGAAACACTGAACACCGTTTTCTAACCAAGCCTTTTTTTGGGCAACCTATAAAAATTACTGCGTGGGACAGCATGAATGATGACCATCTAGAGATGAGTCAGAACCTCACATCCCTGCCAAAATTTCAAATGTTTCCCCTAAAGAACCCTAAAAAAGGGAGAAAAACCAGAATTTACCTAAATTTTATTTTCTCTGCTTATATTAAGATAGATGTCTTAATAAAAAGTAAAAGTGAAATAAACAGCAAAGAATCAAGAGGTCCAGCACACATGAAATATTTACTGAGCAACTAATACAAAAGTTAAAGGTAAGAAAACACGCCCAGTGGAAGAACAGAGAATGCACACTTTAGAATAACAGGGTCTTGGTAAAATTCTCACACTGTCACTAACAGTCAATCCCCCCCCCCCCATGTTCAACTTATTCCAATTTGCTTCTGTGAAGGTTAAATGAAATAAATTATGTAAGTCACAAATCTACAGCATATTCTATACAGCTATTTTTCTTCCCTTTTTTTTTCTACCTTTGTAGAGTAAAAAAAAAAAATCTTGTTTGAGGTGATGGCAATAATAATAGAAAATGTGAAAATGACATAGTAAAAAGCACAATTATTTAGGCAAGGAAAAGCATGAGGTGCATCCATGAAGAACTACCAAAGAGATCAGCAAGACAAGAACTGAGGAGATTTAGGGAACAGCTATTTGTGGCTGTGGTCAGTCACAGAGAACTTGGTTTAAGAAGGGGAATTTAAATTGAGGTCTACAAGAAGATAGGTTCAGACATGCAGTCAGCAAGGAAGAGGATTGGGCAAAAAAGAACACATTTAAAGTCAGTGAAAACTGGCATAACTTAATGTGTTTAGGAAGTATGCAAGGACGTTAAAGATTGGTTTGTAAGCTTTTCTCTAGACAGATACAGTGTATCCTTACATGAAGTAGCAAGGAAATCAGAAGGGTAATTTATCAGCACTAGGCAAGAGAGCTATTTTAAACTTCAGGCTTCAAGCACTAGAGAAAAAATATAAAGAAAGAGACAGAAAAAAAATGTATCTTTTCTTGAAAATCTAGATCATTCTGGCTCAAGCTTGTGATCCCAGCAGTCAGGAAGTTGAGACAGAAATACCAAATGCAAGGCCAGCTTGGGCTACACACGGAGACTGCTTCTTAAAACACAAAAAACAAAAAACTGAAAGAAAGAAGGAGAGAGAGGGAGGAAGAAGCAAAGGCAAGCAGGCAGGCACAGGCAAATGGACAAGAAGGGGTGTTATCATTATCCTTCTATGATACTACTGGTATCATAGATGAGTAAGAAAATAAAAACTACTCAAATTGTCAAACCGTTTTATTGTATCTTCAGAGTCACGAAAAACTAGTTTCTTATCATATATAACAACTAGTATCTAACAGTCTAAGATTTTCCTTTCCATAACGTTAAGACAATACTGCTATTTCAGACAGTCAACACTGTCTTGGTCATTTCCAGAACAAGCCCCATTATACTCAGCACTGACAACGTCAGTCAGCACAGAACTCATGTTAGAGTGTAAGGCCACTGAAAACAACAAATTTACATGGCTTACATGCAGAGTTACTTTTTATCAGCTATTTTTTACCATAAAAATTTAAAGTGCTTAAAAACAGTAACTTTTTTTTTAATATCTCAAATATAGAATAGGGTCTGAGACAAAAATGGTTGCCCAATATCTGAATGAAAGTAGGAGTGGGTTTACTTAATTGACCAACTGGGCCAGGGGGACTTGAATCACTTTAGGATTTTCTTGTTTTTGTTTCTTTCTATTAGATTTTATTTTTATTTTTCAAAAATAATTTATGTATTTTATTTTGTGGACACTGGTGTTTTGACTGCGTGTATGTCTGTGTGAGGGTGTTGAATCCGCAGAACAGGTTTCAGTTCCCATTGTGTGTGCATGTCTCTGTGTGACTGTGTGCACATGAGTGCTGATGCCTGCACAGAGCAGAGGTGGTAGATTCCCTCTGGGATTGTAGTTATGGGCAGTTGTGAGCCTACCAACGGATGCTTTAGCTGCTGAGCCGTCTCTGCAGTCCTATTTCTCTGAAATTTTAAGCCCAGAACTTGGAGATTGACTCACTCAAAAACGTGAGTCCCTTAACATAAGCCAGTACTGTGCACAGCACAGAGTGCCGACCACTGGCGAAGCACCTGCACCGCCAGGACCTCAGAGGAGTGACCAGCATACTTGGGTTGTTTATTTGTTTTTGTTTTTTGAGACAAGGTTTCTCTGTTTAGTCCTGGCTGTCCTGGAACTCTGTAGACCAGGCTGGCCTTGAACTCTGCAGACCTCTGCCTCCTGAGTGCTGAGATTAAAGGTGTGTACCACCAGGCCCAGCTGGGGAATCTTTTAGATGTGCTGAATTTGCTGATCCTGAGATATCCACATGAAGTGTTCACTAACACATGAACATACAGCAAAGGGGAAATGGACCGGATGCACACGCTTGGTGGTTATGGCGAAAGGCTTAGAGTGGAAACTTAGAGAACTAGGAAGAGAGAAAATTAAAGGGAGAGAGAGACTGAACATTGAGTAACTATTTAGGAGACACGAGGAAAAGAGCTGAGTGGAGTGGTGTGAAAGGAAAACTATTATGAGAGCTACTGAAACACTGGTGAAGAAACAGTACAGTAAAATGTAGCGAATAGAAAAAAAAGAGTAAAGACAACAGGTGAAGGGCGTTGGTCACTGGTGTTCTTTGCAGAGGCAGAGCCACTTTATTTCTAGGGACAGAGTGAACAGACAGCATGGGGCTCAGCAGGTTGAACCTGCACATTCAAGACAATGTGAAATAAAGGAATCTGAGAAAGCTAGAGGGGCTGCAAGGTTATGCAGACACTTTATAAAAGATTTAACATTATTTTCCAGGAACTCCAAATGCTGTACTATGAACTGGAGTTATTATAATCTGTCAAGTAGAAACCAGAGTAAATATTAACCAAAAGCCCAACAACTCTGTCTCAGACATTGTAATGAAGAGTAAAGTGTAACTGGACACTAGATGATAGCTAACTGTCTTTTTTTCTCCCTTTCACTATGAAATCACTGGTAAAGAAGCAGCACTCTGAAATGGAATTCAAGCATTTCATCTTAATCTTGCTTTGTCAGTACTTGAACCATCAGTTTTTCTCAGAGACAGAAGCAGTTTCTACAGAGCAGCAGCCACAGTCTGCTGCTCTCACACCATCAGGACTGCATGTTGCACCTACTTCTCCAAACGCAGCAGGGAGTGCTTTGAGCACAACGCCACAACTCAACAACCCTGCTTCTGGACAACAATCACCACCTGCCCAAAGCACGCCTGGACAACCAACACCAGCCGTTTATGTCTCTGCAAGACCAGTTGCCTCCAACATCACCAGTCAAGCATTATCAGCGGTCAACAACTCCTTTCCACAAACATCACTACCTGTGTTCACGTTGGCCAATCAACCATCCTCTTCTTCCCATAATTCCACTAAACCACCACCAAGACCTCTTGTCTATACACAACAGCCACTGTCACCTGCTTCTACCTCTTCTGAAAAACCAGTACTACAGACTATCCATAATCAGTCCACAAAATCAACACCACCTACTAATTTACATATGACTGATGACAATTTACCAAGGAACACACCACCACCACCACCACCAGCAGCAGCAGTCACTTTGGAACCAAAAAGTGGCAAAGGAACTGCACATAAAACCAACCACAATACAATAGCTGCCATATTAATTGGCACAATTCTAATTTCTATGTTGGTAGCTATACTCATGATTATACTGTGGAAATACTTGAGGAAACCAATTTTAAATGATCAAAACTGGGCTGGCAGGTCGCCATTCGCTGATGGAGAAACACCAGACATGTGTATGGATAACATAAGAGAGAGTGAAGTACCCACAAAACGCACATCAGTTGTTTCGCTTATGACCTGGAAACCAAGCAAAAGCACACCGTTAGCAGATGATTTAGAAATTAAGCTGTTTGCATCAAGTGAACACATTAATGATAGCAACAGCCTCAAAACTGAGAACGTGAAAGATCAAACAAATGGTCTATCAGAAGACAGTGCTGATGGGTCAACAATCGGTACAGCTGTGTCTTCTTCAGATGACGCGGATCTGCCCCTGCCACCTCCCCCTCTCGATCTAGATGGGAATCTCTCAGACAAGCCCACAATGATAATGGATTCTCCTGTACCAAACGATTCTACCAGTCTCCAACCATCTCCAGACAGTCTACACCAAGCATGTGAAGACCACACTTCCATGATTCAACAGTCATTTCCGCCACCCCCTGACTCATTTAACTCCCTTCCGTTAGCAGAAGAGGTTATAATCAATCAAGAGCCTAACCAAGAGACTAGTCTGGAGTTCTCTACTCCTGACTTCCATCAGGATCTCACAGACTCCCCGCCAGCTTCTACAGAGCTGCTGTAAAGTGACAGTTTGCTTTCTAGCTTGTCCTCCATCCTGAGATGGAGGACATCCCATTTCCTGTCCTCCTGGTACGACACATATAACAACCGGCAGCCGAGTGACTTTGTTTAGGAACTATCTGACACCTGAATGAAGCCCATGTACAAAGGTTGATTATTACAGTGATATGCTTACTAGCTATAGAACTTATTTTAAAAGCAGAGTCCCTTTACATATGAATGATTGATATGTCAAGAGCTTAATCATTTTGCAAACATGAGATCTACATATACTTATTATTACAGATTTTCCCCTTGAAAAGCTGTAGATAAACTTATCTTGAATAAAAAAAAATTCTATTTTTCCATCTCATAATTTGCGGTGTAATAGAAATGAGAAATTTTAAATAATCCAAGTATTAATACTTCAAATATTAAATAACTATTTCAATTTATGGAGATAAGAGATTAAAATATATTTTGGCTTTAATGGAAACACATAGACACAATACTGTATTAAAATATGAAATCAAGAGTGCTGTGCTGAGGAACATTTACCCTGAAAAAATGAGCATCTACCATAAAAGGCAGATTTCTTGTTTTTATAATTAAAAATTTATATGTACAAGTGTTTTGCCTACATGTACATATAAGTAACACATATATGGCTGGTGCTTGAGGAGGTCAAAAGATGACAATGTGCATTGGATCCCTGGAACTGGATAGAGTTACTAACATTTGTGAGCTTCCATGTGGGTGCTGGGAACTGAATCAAAATCCTCTATGAGAGTAGTAAGTGCTCTTAACCACCGAGCCACTGCAATTTCTTCTCTCCTCCCCCTCTCTTCAAATGACTGAGGAGCTGGGGGGGAGGGCTTGGAGACAGGCTGCATTTGGAGGCTGGAAGACAACTTGTGGGAGTCAGTTTTCTTCTCCCATCTCAAGGATAGAACTCAGAACTCAGGTCATTAGACCTGACAGCAAGCACCTTTATCCACGGAGCCATTTCACTGGCCCCAAAATGTAGACACTTTTCTAAAATGTCAGGGAAGCAGAAACTAAGCATTTAGACAAAATCAAGTGTTGCAGAAGAAGGGAGAAAAAAATAAAAGTGTGTGTGTGTGTGATTTTTGTTATATACTTATTTAATAAGTATTATTAAATAAGTTCATACTTATTTAAAAATCAACTTTTAGTCTAGAAATGATTTTTTAAAAGTGTGTGTGTGTATGCACGTGCATGCTATCTGCCTGTGGGAGGGTGTTGGTAGGAACTGTAAGAGGATGTCAGCCACCCTGGAACAGAAGTCACAGGAAGTTATGAGCTGTTGTCTAACACGGATACTGGGAACTGAACATGGGTCCTCTAGTATAGCAGCAGCTCTCTAGACTGTTGAGCTATCTCTATATCCCAAACCACCTTTTTAAATGTAGAAGTTCAAATGTTAAACTACCACCTGACAATTGAGGAATATGAGATAACGGAGAGGTATGGGCACAACCTTTGTCAAAGTCGAAGGGGTCAGTGGGTATTGGCTTACTTTGTATAGATGTTAGTGAGGCTACAGAAGTGCTCATCTGCCCAACAAGGACATCCTTCTTCCTATTCTTACCTAAAGTCCAAGGGAAGAGAGTTACTTAGAGCACAAATTCTGGAACTTTTCCGAATAGAATATAGTATTCATTTGTAACATTAGTGTTCAAACACTAAAAAGCCCATCTGGAATAAAAAATAAGCAGGCTCTTGGGTAGATTACTATTATTATTATTGTTGTTTGTGTTTTCTGAGACAGGGTCCCTCTATGTAGGCTTGGCTGTTCTGGAACTCTCTATATAGACCAAGCTGTCCTCAAATTCACAGAGATCCAGCTGTCTCTGCCTCCCAATTGCTAGGATTAAAGCTGTGGCCACCACACCTAGCCTAAGTGTTATTTTACATACAATGCTTGCCTTATTTCTTGCAAGCCACATCTAATTTACTGACAAGGAATACTTTATCTGCAGAAACACTCACTGAGCTACTTATTTCAAGCATGATGGTTTTCCATCCTGTTACACTGGTTCTTTTCTGTTATCCACAAAATTTGTTTCATGTGCCTTCAAATATAATTTTAAGACTAATTTATACTGTAGCACTCAGAAATGTTGAGAATTTATTCTTTACATATCTTGATTAAAGTGATGAGCTCTAGCAGTTCGGGTTTGAGATGTTACAATCACCAAACCCCTCTCATATATAAGAGCTCAAAAGGGGGTTGGGGCCAGAGAGACAGCTCAGGGGTTCAGAGCACTGGCTGCTCTTCCAGAGGACCCAGGTTCAACTCCCAGCACCCACATGGCGGCTCACAATTGTCTGCACCTCCAATTCCAGGTGATCTGACACCCTCACACCAATGCACATAAAATTAAATAAATTATTAAAAAAAAAAAAAAAAAGAGCCCAAAAGCTCTTCCCAACGTTTTGTTTCTTTCAACACCTTCCTTACTGATCTCTTGGGGAAAAAAAAAAAAGGATATTGAGAAAACAAGAGTTAATGGAGGAGATGCAGAGATGGTTCAGAGGTTATGAGTGCTTGCTGCTCTTTCAAATACCCAGCTTCAATTCCCAGCACCAACATGACAGCTCACAACTGTCCAGTTCCAGGGGATCTGGTGCCCTCTTCTGACTCCATGGACAACAGGCACACAAATAATACACCGGTGTATAAATCCAGGTAAAACACTCATATATATAAAATAAAATTAGTAGGATTTATGTCTTTTTGCTCTATGTATGCATTTTGCCTGGGTGCACGCCCGTGTACCACTGTGTGCCTGGTGCCTGTGAGGTCAGGAGAGAGTGCTGGACCCCTGGGATTGGAGCGAAGAGTGAGTGGCTCTGTGGGTGCTGCGACAAGTGTCGTTTCCACTCACTCAGTTGCCCATCCCCAAATAAAGAAACAAACAGTTCAGGAGCTAATGACTTGGTTACAGTCTTGTCAGATTTCTTTAAGCACTACCCTTAGCTTTCTGACTAGCAGATACTAGAGGTAGCTGGATTTTAAATTTTGTTTTCGTTCAAACACACTCTGTGCAGAGAGAGTGCAGCTCAGAGTGACTGTATGCGATTCCCCCTGAGGTCAGCGGAGGCTGAGCAGCCCCACAGTGCCTCCCTGCTTACTCGGCAGGGAGAAAGGGACTAATCAACGAACGACAAGAAGGAAAAAACAAAAACTAAACAAAAAGCCTCCTGGAAAGATTAACAAATTAGGATACTGCAGAGAAAAGAACAAGGCATGAGATGGCTCAGCAAGCAAAGACGCTTTTTGCCAAGCTTGACAACCAGAGTTTGATTCCTGGGCTCCAAGGGATAAAGGAAAGAGCTGCCTTCCACAAGGTGCCTTTGACTTCCTCGTGTGTGCCAAGGCATGCAAGCACATGGGACGCAAACACACACACACACACACACACAAATATAATAAAAATTGAAAAATAACCACGCAGTGGACTAAGAGGCCCCGTGAACGTCACACTGCACACCAGTGGAGCTCTTACCAGAACTGTGTAACAGCCTGGAAGACCATTTAGTAAAACCCCTGGTTTTCTTAACTGCTGAGGAAAACAAAAGCAGGGAAAGCAAGTGACTCAGAAGAAATCAGCCTTAATTTTGCTCAAAAAGGAGAACAGCAAAATACTTGGGAACTTATAATTCAAATTCTAGAGCATAGTGTTTAGAAATAAATTCAAATACCTGATCAGGAGAAATAAGTGCTGGGACAGCTAAATAGATACTTGAAAAAAGAAAAGTGGATTAACATGACTCATTATTTAGAAGAGACACTGAGTAGAAGGAAGATCTAAATAGAAAGCGTGAGGTCGACAAAATGCAAGAGGAGGTTGCTGAACCTCTTTACAATTGGACATGGGGAAACATCTTCCGAGCTGAGGCTCAAAATCTAGAAGCAGCAAAAACAGAATAGAAACTCAATTATATGAAACTTTTCAAATGTTAAAACCAAAATATAACTCAGCATTAAAAAGTCAAAAGACATAAAGTTAAAAACTTTAAGTTAAATCAACTCAGTTCAAACACCTATAAACTGTAAGAAACTTCCTAAAGATGGACAACAGAATAACTGGATGATGGACAGTTAAAAAAAAAAAACAAAAAAAAAAAAACGTATAAAACATCCAGAGAAGAAAAAATACAAATGGTTTTTGAAAACATATATAAAGGCTGGCAGTGGTGGTGCATACACCTTTAATTCCAGCAACCAGAGGCAAAGGCAGGTGGACGGCTAAGTTCAAGGCCTGGTCTACGGAGTTCCAGAACAGCCAGAGATACAGATACACTGTCTCAAAAAGCCAAAAAACAAAACAAAACAAACAAACAAAAACAAACCTTAAAAACAACCACTGGCAAAAATATAAAGCTGTTCAAGCACAAGGGTCATAGCATATCATCATTTGCAATAACAAAAGCATGAGAACGACTCAGATGCCTCCAGTATAAGGCTGATCACATAAACCATGGTGTATTCCCCACTGCATCATGAAATGAATGAATGAATCAAATCCCTGTCTCCTGAGGCTATGATCTTTAAAATAAATTATTAAAAAAGAGTAAGATATAGAATACTTTGTACAAACTTTTACATGAGAAGACAAGAATATGTAATATACGTACATATTTTATCTGTTTTTCAAAAGAAATACTGTTAAGATGCAAATAAAAACAAATAAAAGTAGTTTTTCTCCACACCAACAAGAGGAAGAAAATTGACAGGAAGGATCAAGCCAGAGTAACATGAGTCATCTGTATATACAATTTTGTGTTTGTTTTTTAAGACAGCGTTTAACTTGTAGCCCTGGATGTCCTAGACTCAGTTTGTAGACCAGAATTTGGCCTCAAATTCACAGAAATCTATCTGCCTCTGCTTCCCTGAGTGCTGGGATTACAGGCATGCACCACTGTGCCCAGCTCAATTACATAATTTTGACTAAACAGCCATAAATACTACAAACCAGCTGAAAAAAATTAACATTATGTCATGTTTTTGGCAAGCAGAAAAGAATGACTTCAAATAATTCTGGGTATAAAATTGACTGTCCCTCCTCAGTGAAAGAGCTCACACCTGGTTCAGTTGTCTCTCCTCTAGCTACATTAATGCAATTATCCCTTTTAGACTATTCTTGGATAAGGCAAAAGGCAGTTAGGTTAATGTTGTTAGGGACATAGTAGAAAATATGGAGATATAATAAAAACTTCAAACATTTCCAGAAACCAAGCAGATAAATTAGGAATATTCTGGAGAAGAGGAAGGGAAGA